CCCCCACTCGGGTACTGCCCCCACTCTGTAACAGATAGGACGTATTTATATTGTAGTTATTTATAGCCATGAGAATGACCCCTAATATAGACTGTTACAGGGTGGGGGCGGTAACCAGTGAACTCTAAACCCTAAACCCTAAACCCTAAACCCTAAACCCTAAACCAGTAGCTCAGTTTTCGTCTTGTTTCAACTGGGGTCGTCAGGCTCTGCTTGGGGCATCCAGGAAGCACCAGGCCGTTTTTGCTGAACTCCACAGTTCAAGCTGGGGCCCATTTAGGGTTTAGGGCCTTTAGGGTGTAGGGCTTTAAGGGTTTAGGGTTTAGGGTTTAGAGTTTCGAAGGGAAAGGTGAATCGAAAACTGGAAGCCGACTACCCGAAACCTAAATCCCATTATGGCGAAGTAGGCCTCAGATAAAGGATCCAGTGATCCTGAGTGTCATGCCACTAGGGATCGGGATCCGCTAGAATTACAGCATCCCTACACCCTAAACCTTAAACCCTACGCCCTGAAACCAACTCCTAGGGCTCATGTACCCAAAGAGTATATACCTTGGCCTTCAAGCAGTCCCTAAACCCTAAACCCCAAACCCAAAACCCTAAACCCTGAACCCTAAACCCCAAACCCTAAATCCCTAAACCCTAAACCCTATAGGTACTTTGGGGCATTCCAGACTGAGAGTCCTTTCTCAATGATCCTCAATCGTGCTGCCTTAGGCGATGTTTTCAGCGACGAGTGGCGTCGCTGATACGTCCTGGTCTCAGGGGTTTAGGCTTTAGGGTTTAGGGGTTCAGGCTTCCCCAGCCTAAGCCAGAAGATCCAGAATCCTACGAGTTCCAGCCTCAGCCTAATCACGCGATTCGGGTTTTCGGCTTCAGGGTCAATGAATTGTTTGTTATACCAGGGTTGCATGTAACGTAGAAACCCAGGGTACCAGTTTAGTATTCGTCGCCTTCTCCTACGCGCTGCATCTCCGAATTCTTAAAACCCTAAACCACTCGCCGAGCAAACCACCGGCCCCCGCACAAAAGCACACACACACACACAGAGATACGATAGGGCTCCGAACATCTACCCATTTTAATCCTTAGTGTTCCTTATATACTTATACTACGGAAAACCACTGAAGCCTATTCATTTTGTTGAGGCCCTATCTCGTCCCTAAACCTTAAACCCCTAACAACTAAACCCTAAACCGACGCATGCACACACACGAGGATGGATGGCCAGGGGCTCATCGGCGGGCAGGCCAGGCAGTCATCGGGCTGATTCTGGCTTCTGCGCTACATCAGGACATATCTATTTGTGTATGTGTGTATATATATATATATGTTTTTGATTTGTAATTATATGTATATACACGCATAAATAAATATATACATACATATACACACACGCACATGTTCATGCATAGGTAGATGGATAGATAGTTCTAGTTCGTTTATACGTGGGATTCCCCCCAGCTGAAAGTAAGGGTGCAAGATGGCCTACTTACGCAGCCGCTTGCTCCTTTCCCGACTGCAAACCGTAGAAGGACCCGGTGAACCGATGCCCTGAACCCCCTAAACCCGGAACCCCAAACCCCAAACTCTGAACCCTAAACCCTAAACCCTAAACCCTGAACTCTACACCCCAGACCCTAGACCCTACATGTGCCCTGCACCGCACCCATAACAGCCTGGCCCCAGACCTCAGCGCGAAACCAAGCCCAAAGGATCCGAACCTCTTCGCACGCCTATATAATATGATGTAGTAGAAGGTGAGATAAGGTAATACAACCTAAGATAGTATAAGGCTATACAATATGATATTTTATAAGTCAAGATAAGATACGATAAGAAAAGATAAACTGTAAGATACTACAAGGCAGTATAATATGTAGGTTTAGGGTTCAGGGCTTACTTGCAGATTGCAAGAACACTCTGGCAACGGTGCTCCTGTAGCCATACCAGCAACAAGCGCGATGGGCAAACGAACTGTTCAGCTGCAAAGCTCAGGGAATGATCGTCATAAGAACAGCA